AAGACTTATCAAATACCCCCACACTTAGCCTTTTGCACGCCCTCGTGCAAAGTAGATTTTGACAATCGAATCTTTCTTTTTGTGTTAGAAAGCAGAATTCACAACAATTCCCCTATCTCTAAACAATCTAAGGTGTTGCTTAAAACATTAACTAAAGATTAGAATTGTACCAAACAGAGTGAACACCTTAAAAATCAGCTTGCTACTTTAAACTTTAAAACAAGTCTTTCACTTCAAAACTAAGTAGAAACTATTTTCATTTGATGTCAAACCTTTAAATTAACTAAGATCATTGAGAAGAATTTAAAAGAAATAAATAGAGCAGCAATAGGTAGTTAGAAGTCCTAAGAAACACTCAAATAAAGAAAAGCTTAAGAAAATTTATTTTCTTTCCTAAAATCTGGAAACTTTTAATTATTACTTTGATTTAATATTAAATTTTTAGTTGTTTGAGTTGACCCGTGTAGCGAGTCTCAACCAGGCTACCCAAGACCCATTCCAGATAGCCCGGGACCTAAATAACGAAGTATTCCGAGGGTATCAACTCGAGTGCTCAAACAACCTTTTTACTCAATTATTTATTCTCTCTTTTTTTTGTTCCTAGCCATTTATTGCCTCGTTTTTTTTTTGGGCTCAATGGCGTCGGTTCTTTTTATTTTGAACTGGTTATGGACGAGATTCGTACGGCCCAAAAACGGGGTTTGCTCTTCCAACTCAGGTTTTCTCCATACACAACACTTCTTTTTAGGATCTGTTGCTTAAGGGGACAAAAGTGTCGTGCCACCCATGCCAACCTAAGATGGTGTTCCAGTATACACATTTATTCATTTCAGCATCTTGATAATATGTAGGTAACCAAAATTTAGGTAAGAAAAGAGATTTCCAAAAGATTAACTTTACTTGAAAAGCAACTTAGGACAAAACAGTTAAAAAAAACTGCTCTAAACACTTCTAAATAAATTATGCACCTTGAACTTAGCTAATTAAAAGATATGAAATTAAATAAAAATAGGTTCTGATCAGCTATGACTTAAAAGCAATGATTTAAACTTTACAGTAGCAAACTCACTTTTAAAACACTCAACCCTATTTGTTACAACTTTAATTTAAATTTAATGCTAAAATGCAACGCTTAGGGTGCTAAAAGATAAAGGAAACTATTGTGATTCCTAATTCCTTTTGAGATGCTTACTTTTTTCATTAACCTAAGTTTTCTTTTAAAAACTTAAAAACTTTTAAACTCTCTTTTTTTTTTTAACCAATCACATCTAAAATGCAGATTTTCCTAAGATTCTAGCAACCAGGTATGAGACCCTTAAGGTATAAATGCATCTTTAAATCTGCAGAATCTTACGGAGAATAAGTCCAATCAAACTGGCCAGGTTTAAACTAACAAATCAGCCCCTAAATATGCTTAAATGGACAATTTATTGCAGTTCTTTATGCATAATTGGCCTCCTAGATGTGATGAATGCAGATAAACAACATGCTCATTGTCCCTCTTTACTAAAATAAGCATTTGCAGTGACAAACATTCGGAACAGAGAAGAATCAGGGCTGTTATAATACCAAAGACATTGAATCAGAATCAAAGAGACAAATTCACCATCAAAATTCAGCAACTTTCCTCATTTCAACCTATTTCTCAGCAATCTAGGATCCAAAGAATACTTAAGGGATGCGTACCTTGTCTCTTCAAGTTAGAAGGATTGAAATATTCATAAGCACCCCCCCACACTTACCTTTTGCACTGTCCTCAGTGTGAAAAACAAGCAGTAGGCCCTGTGGTAGGCATAAAACATGTACGCACGAGAAGGGGTAAAAAGAAGGGGATATGGAATGGGTGGGTGAGAGAAAAAGAAATAGAGAGGGTGGGGGAAAAAATGCAGAATGTAATTGAAAATATTAAAAAGAAGTGTTTTTTTAAATGCTGGGTTGCCTCCCAGTTAGCTGCCCTCTTTATGGTCTTGGCTAGACCCTTGCAAGCTTCACTACATCTCCAACCAAACGTATAGAGGAATGTCCTCTAGAATTATCTCCTCCACGAGTCCTACCTGGACACCTTCCCTGTAAAGCTTCAACCTGTGGCCATTTACTTTAAAAATTTTGTTAGTAGCAAGGCTTCTTATATCAACAGCACCATGGTTATAAGCTTTAAGCACTTCATAAGGGCCTATCCACCTAGATCTTAGTTTTCCAGGAAACAAATGAAATTTGGATTGGTAAAGTAAAACCTTATCTCCTGCCTCGAAAGATTTTCTGGTCAGTTTTGCATCATGGAATGCCTTGGCTTTTCCCTTATAAATTACTGAGTTATCATATGCCTCAAGCCGGATTTCTTCTAGTTCAGAGAGTTGTAATTTTCTTTCTCTACCAGCCTTATCATATTCTAAATTAACTGTCCTGACAGCCCAGTAACTCTTATGTTCAATCTCAACAGGTAAGTGACATGCTTTCCCAAAAACTAACCTATAAGGAGACATGCCTATTGGTGTTTNTCGAAAGATTTTCTGGTCAGTTTTGCATCATGGAATGCCTTGGCTTTTCCCTTATAAATTACTGAGTTATCATATGCCTCAAGCCGGATTTCTTCTAGTTCAGAGAGTTGTAATTTTCTTTCTCTACCAGCCTTATCATATTCTAAATTAACTGTCCTGACAGCCCAGTAACTCTTATGTTCAATCTCAACAGGTAAGTGACATGCTTTCCCAAAAACTAACCTATAAGGAGACATGCCTATTGGTGTTTTAAAGGCAGTCCTATAGGCCCATAAGGCCTCATCTAGCCTTAAACTCCAATCTTAAGAGACTTATGTTTTTGTATATATACGGGGCTTGACTCCACAAGATGAATAGAGAAAACAATTCTTCTTCAGGGAGTATTAAAAAAATTGCAAAATTAAAGAGAAATTTGAGGCATACCTGGACAAGACAATATAGAAGACTTGCAAATGGTAGAATGAAGAAATCCAAAGTTCAATATAATCTAAAATTAGGACTTATTATGTATATTAAACCTCAAAATCACGAATTGAAATTCAAATATTATAAGTAACATACTCCATAAATTTTATCTACAATTTATATTTCAATTAAAGAGTAAACAAATTTTCTAGAAAAAAACCTGATTTTTTGTTTGGGGATGGCGATGGTCGGCCCAAGACAACGAGTTGAGGGATGGCGACGAACGCGAATGAATGGCGAGGTGAGAAATAGGGACGAACGACGAGGAGAGAGACATTGACGAAAGGCAAGGGAGGACGGCGCACAACTCCTCTCTTCAAAGTCTTTATATGATGATAGACAAAAATTTAGATCTAGGGTAAGTTAAATTAAAGCACACACCGAGGGAAAAGTCTGCCGGTATTTCAAAATAACAATGAGCGGCGAAATATTCCACCAATATTTCAAAATTTAAATAACACAAAACTGGCAGAAATTTCTGCCGGTAAATTACCAATTTAAATCGGAACTCTTTACCTAATAATTATTTTAAAAATTAAAATGATAAATCCTAACAATAAGTGTCAGATTCTTTTGTTGATTTCAAAATTTAATTAATACATAACCGAGAGACTTGTCCGCCGGTAAATCAATATTATAATAATATTTGAACTTAAATGTCAATATATTAAATTTTAGAACATTAGCCGGAGAATATAACTGATTTTAATATTTTATATTTTTACATTTTAACGGGGGATTTATCCTCCATTAAAATTAGCGGAGGAATACTCCGCCTATTAATTAAGAAAAATATCAATTATTAAGTAATTAATTTTTTGAAATCTAAGTGACGGATAAAACCGCCGGTACTTACTCATTTCTTACTAGCGAGGGAAAAGTTCGCCGGTAGTTTGCGGCGAAATCGAGTCCGCCGCTAATATTTCGCAGCTAATATGCGGAATTCTAGTAGTGATCACTTATTTCTCATTTAATTTGTTCTTATTAGACACTACGGAAAAGCAATCACTTGCCTCGATCTCATGTCACTTGAGAAGGGGTTTTGGCCTTTGGGTCGTGGGCAATTCCAGAATCAGCCTCCGCTCTCATACTATACTGGACTGGCTGAATGGGCACTCTTCTGGCGGTTCACCAAGGAGTTGGTAAATCAGGAGCGGAACACTGTCTGATTATTATGCTACTCAGTATCTCATAATAATGGGTTTTTATATCACTTGAAAAATGCAATGAGAAAAGCATAGTATAAACTATTAATAGCAGCTTGGAAATGAAATGTGGTACATACGGAGATAGTCAAGAGATGTACTTTTATTACATCATTGTCATCTCCTTCCCTCGTTGCTTCCTTGCATTGTTAAAACACTGTTTCTTGTATGAGTATCAGGGCCGGCTCAAGCTAGGGGCAAGGTGGCCGCCTGGGCAGGGCCCAATTTTGGAGGAGGCCCCACTTTTTTTCTTTTTTTGTATATATTCTATATATATTATATATATTTATAAAAAAACAGGTTAAGACTATGCATTATAAATTTATAAGACTATGAATTTGACATTTTATTATTCTTATTACTATAATATTTTATATTGTTAAAAAAATTAATTGATAGACTTTATTTTATTATGACACAATGGCCCATTTTCTCCGTGACATCCAGGCAGTGGCGGATCCAGGATTTTGATTGACTGGGGGCAAGAGTAGTACGAAAGTTTGAGGGTAGTGTACCATTTTTTTAAAGTGAAAATTTGCACGGAATAGGACTAAAACATAAGTTATTTCCCAATGTAATTTTTTTAAAAAAATAATAATATTTTTTTAAAATCAAAGTAAATTATAAAAAAATATTTTTTTAAAAAACAAAGTAAATTATAAAAAAAATTAATAAAACAATCAAATGATTAATGAAAAATCTCAAAAGCACTCTCTATAATTTTACTTTCTCTTATAATTTTTATTTTTGAATTATCTTCTACCCCCTCCATTTGCAAAAAGACTTTCCATTTTGATTTGGGCCAAAAATAAAGAAGTGTTACATCTTTAACACTTCTCCGGAGTAGTTGATTTCCAATTTTGTCTCTGATGTGATGGGTAAAAGTAAGATGTGATGCATAGATTATAAGAGAAAAAGTATGATGTGATAGGTAGAATATGAAAAAGTAAGAGTAAAAGTATTCTTTTAATAGAAAGGGGAAGTGGTTTGTTGGAAATGGAAAAAATGAAAGAGGAAGTGTTTTTGAGAACATAGGGAGTAGTTAATATTATAGTTTAATTTTAATTTTGAAATTCTTTTATTTTTAGTTTAAAAAATAATTTGTTCATTTCAAAAAGGAAAAATTGATATAAATACTCCCAGAAATCTAAAATTTTACAATAATACTCCGAAATTTAATAAAAGACTCTAGTGCTCCCAATTAAACTTTAAGTTTACATTATTACTCCCATTATGCCTAATTAGCTTTTCTTACGCTTACATTTAAGTAATTATGCTTAGTTGACATCTTAGTTGTTTTTTTTTGTTTTAATAAGAGGAAAAAATTATATAAATACTACCTGAAATTTAAAATTTTACAATAAAACTCTCAAAACCAAATAAAGACTCTAAAAAATATCTTCCTTTTACATGTTACAATATTTCATAAAAGTGGTGTGAAATCAAAAAATAAAATTATATATCATCTGAAAACTACATCATAAGATTTATAAAACTGGTATGATATAATTATATTATTTTATCAAGTACTCCGTATATAATTAAAGTAGGTAAGAAAAGTAAATAAAAATTGATCTTTTTAATACTCTTGACAGTGAATGGGAAGATAATTTTTGGACGGAGGGGGTATTTTGTATTAAAATATAAAAAAATATCTACGATTCCAATTAAGCTCAATTAATTAATTTGTAATATTACTAAAAAATTATTTTTACATATTACTATATTAGTTTTTTAAATGGAGTATTTTTTAGAGTCACACCACTTTTATAAAATAGCGTAACAGTGTAACACGTAAAAGAAAGATATTTTTTAGAGTATTGGATTCTTTATTTGGTTTTGAGAGTTTTATTTTAAAATTTTGAATTTCAGGGAGTATTTATATAATTTTTTCTCTTATTAAAACAAAAAAAACAACTAAGATGTCAACTAAGCATAATTACTTAAATGTAAGCATAAAAAAGCTAATTAGGCATAATGGGAGTAATAATGTAAACTTAAAGTTTAATTGGGAGTACCAGAGTCTTTTATTAAATTTGAGAGTATTATTCTAAAATTTCGAATTTTTGGGAGTATTTATATCAATTTTCCCTTTCAAAAATGTCTAAATAATTCATTTTTCTATTTAAACATTTTTTTCATTGGGGGCAAATTAATTTTTTTATTGGGGGCAATATTAATTTTTAAGGAAATCTTATATATTAATTAAATAAGAACAAAATTTCATTGGGGGCAATATTAATTTTTAGGGCCTTGATTTCTCGGAAACGGCCTGAGTATCTAGTGACTCGGGTTCAACCCATTTTCATCCGTGAGATGCTGTTTTCTTCCAAAAGAGCTACTATGAGCTTGACATATATGTCAAGCCTTGTTTTAGGTCACGTAATTCCAATGTAAGAAATTGCTTTATATACTAACCGTTACTGATACTTATTGTGCGGTTAGGGGGGAGATGACTTTATACTTTGTAATAAGGTTAGCTCGAGAATGTGAAAAAAATAAGATTTGTCTTACGCAAAATTTATTTGTTGGGTCCCCTACTTTGTTTTTTTGTAGAGTATGTGTGCTTTAAAATTAATGCTAAATTTTATTTAATAACCATTTTTAAAACAATTTGAATGTTAAAATATAAACTAGTACTCTGTATTAAATTTTGAAATATCAAATAATTAGAATAATGAACACCTAATATTGTTGGACACTAAAAGTTTGGGGGCCAATACGGGTGGACTCTTATTGCCCAATTACTAAATTGTTTTTAGTGAATGTTATATCCTTTATTGATTTTTAACATACTTAAAATAGCGATGACAAAAAATACACTAAAACAAGCCAAAAAATGAAACTAGACGGTGAGGATCATACCCAGCATACCAATTTTTTCTTTATTTTAATTTATTCAAATTAAAATTTACTTAAAATAAAAATATTACCCCATCCGTCCCAATTTCTAGTATCTATTTCAGTTTACGATGTTTGACAGAAATTATTTTCAAATCATTTTATATGACAAATGGTATAGACTTAAAAAATAAAAAATACATATTAAAATACTACATCAAAAGATCTATTCCAATTGCTAGTAGTGACAAAATTAGTAGTGACAATATTAACTTTATTTTATCCAATTGCTAACGAAAATAGAAAAAGAAAATGAATGAAGTTTGATCCTATAAATAGTGAACAGACATTATAATTTGGGGCGGGGGAGTAAATAAATATCCCATCCGTCCCATTTTAAATAGCCGTTTTGACTCTGTGGCATATTTAAGGAAGCAAAAAAATAGAGTCGACTTTTCGAAATTGTCATTACTTTTTAGGAGGGGTGACAATGGATGAGAAGATAAAGTGGAGAAGAGTGAATTATTTTAGGGGTAGTTTAGGTATTTTACTCTTAAAAGTTTACGATAACAAGAAACAGACAATTTATTTTGGGACGGAGAAAAAAGAGAAACATGCAATTTAAAATGAGACACATGGAGTATGTCAATAACTCTAAAGTTAAAGTTCCATAGACTATAGCTGTTTACTCCCTTCATTCATTTTTAAGTGTCGCTTTTCGAATTTAATGTTTGACTGACAATATCTTTTAAAAATATATTAATAAAAAATATTAGAAAGTACTCCTTCCGCCCCCTTTTAGATTACAATATTCCCTTTTAGATAGAATTAAGAAAGAGTCAAATCAATGTTTTTTTTCCAAATTACCCCCCCCCCAAATAGTATAAGAATGGGTGGGTGGGGGAGATTTGACATTGAAATAATAAAGGAGAGGGAGGGTAAAAGAGTCCATTTAGTGTAAAAGTAAATACTTTGTAATCCTTTTTGGGACAAAAATAAGAGGAAATATTGTAATCTAATTGGGGACGGAAGGAGTATATACTCTGTATATAAAGTAATTTTTGTACCAATAATTTTTGTATTTTAATTCATTGTATATTTTTATATATAACCAGTCAAACATTTGACAAGAAAAGCAAAACAGACAAAACAGACTATTAAATAGTAATGGAAGGAACTTCTCCCCTGGCTTGAGTGGTAGCAAGCCCACTCCCCAGGATTCATGGGGAAGTTCACCCAGGTTCGAGCCCCAGCGAAGGCAGCAGCATTGGCTCTTTG